CATACCCACCTGATCCAAAAGCAATCATCTATTTGCATTTTAGCCCACGAAATAGATATTCTGATGCAGCAAAAAACCTGAGCCAAAAAGCAAGCACATATTATGTGGAAAATGTTTTAAATTATGACCTTATTACCGAGTTGGTCCTTATTGTTATTTTCATACAATTAATCTCCAATGACTAGGGGTGGTCAATGGATCGGATCGGATCGGGTTTGGCCCAAAACCGACCCGACTCCTACCCTAAACCGAACCCGTCCGAATCGGGTCGGGTCGGGTCCAGTAAGATTGAATTCTTCAGTCCAAGAAGTGTAACGCTTTTTGAGCTTCTTGATAAGCCTTTCTTCTTTAATTACATAGTCATTGGAACAAGACGTTACTTGATAGTGGATAGCATATTATTTTTTCTTAGAGCACTTGATAGTGGAATGTGATGGGATTAGGGATATTAAGATGATTGTGAACCACGTGAGAACACATGATAAAAGGGGAGGATATGATGTCGGTTTTGGATGTTCAAGAAATGTTGGGGTTGCCATTGTTGGGGGTGATCCCAGAGGATACTGAGGTGATTAGGAGCTCAAATAGGGGGCATCCATTGGTTCTGAAGCGTTGGTCGGGTTAGCATTTGAGTAAGTGTCGTGGAGGCTGGTGGTTTTCAAGCCCAGTCCTATAAAGAAGAAGCCAAGGTTTTGAAGTGGGCGGGCGGACGAATTGGGTCGACTTATGAGGCTGACCCAACCTGATCCCACAATTATTTTAAATTTATTTTACTCGACTCGACCCGTTTTGGTATGGGTCGGGTCGACTTATGAGGCTGAACCAACCCGACCCACAATTATTTTAAATTTATTTTACTCGACCCGACCCGTTTTGGAATGGGTCGGGTCGATTTTTCGGGTTGTGATTTTCAAGCCCAGTCCTACCAATGATAGAAATTTCAACTATATTAAATTGTGAAGTGGAACAGTTGGAAGGCATAAAAGTCAATAACATGCTATTATTATTCGTTAATCGTTAATTCATACATGAATATAAAAACACTAACCTAGAATTGGATGGAACTCTCAATTTTATAACTTCATAAAAACAGCTACTTACCAAAATGTATAATAAATACAAACTAAAAATAAATAACAACACACCAAACATTAATTAAAACTAAAGAAAAAAAATATGCTTCATAATGCATAATCTTTACCAGGTAGAAAAAGACCACATTTTCATTCAGTATCTCATCAAAGCCCCTTTTTGAGCCTATTTTTTGAGATAAATGAATTTTATAATAGCAAAATTTTTTTCCCTAGGAAATGTGTGGTTGAGAAATAGGAAAAATTTTAAATTTACGTATAATTTTTTTTATTAAAAAAAATGAGTGATTAAAAACGAGTCAAAAAAGGAATTTTTAGAAAAATGAGGCTCGAACATGGGTAAAACGTCTTCGTAGTTGCAAAAAGAGGAAACATTTGAATGGATTGATCTCCATTTGATAGCCAAACATTGAAAGTGTAATGAAAATAAAATTTAGAATGTGTTTAAGACCCATTTTTCTACTTAGTTTTGTAATAGTGATTTTTTGTTTAGAGAATGTATGGTAAAAAAAAAAAAAAAAAATTTCTTTTTAAACTTATTTGTAAAAATTATTTTATTGAAATAATGTGTAATTTTAACGAAAAATGAACTTTTAAAAAATGAGAGTCACACGTGGGCTTAATACACATTAAGGCTTTGGAAAAAGAAAAAAAGAATTATACAATTGTACTCTCTATAATTGGTTGGTGAATTTAGCCCCTATTTGATGTTAATGAGAAAATGAGTTACGAAATAGTAATTTTGTAGAATATTTATGGTTAAAAAATAAAAAAAAATTAAATTTATGTGTAAAATATTTTATTACGAAAATGTATGGTAGAAAATAAGTTTTAGAATTTTTTTTGAATAATAGTTGTAAAACGGGGATTAAAAAAAATAGAAACAAAATTTTATTTTATTTGGATGATAGCTTTTTCCAAAAAAGAGAAAAAATCATTACTCAAGGGGTGAAGGGGGGCCATCTGAACTCACCCCGTCTTTACATCCACCCGTCTTTATATCATGCTTGCTTAATCATTTTTATATTACTCCAGCATGTAAAAAAAAAAAAAAAAA